GATATTTCCAGCAGTTCATAAAAAAAAAATAAATAAATAAATAAATAAAAAATAAAACAAGCTTTCTCTCTTTTGTGCGAATATATCAGAATTATGGCTAAAATATTTGCTGGTGAGGTGGTCGTTTCGTTGGCCTTTGCTGGAGCAAGATATAGGCTATGGGAGCTGAGTTTGGTCTGAGGATGAGAGGCTTTCCGTTGTGTAATACTGGAAGTCCTAAGGGCTATCGTTTCAATGTTCAGCTAAAAGAGAGCAAAAGTCTCGATATAAACTTGCCAAAGATGTATTACAGGATATTTTGACCATATTTAAATTGAAAACTAAACTTAATCCTAAACAAATGGAAAGCTAAACTTGAGCCCAAACAGAAAGCTAAATTTAATCCAAAATTATACCAAACTTATTCTAAAAGTAAGCTCAGTTTCTGCAAACTCAAGGAAATAAGGTAATTGTTGCTGTGCCGTGACTTTTGCACTTTGCATTGCACCAAGCACCAACAAATTATCCCCATTTGTACTTGGCAAAATTGCGTTCAGACTGGCTGATTTGGTAATAAATTACCAAAGAGTTTGATAAGCTACAATATACACACAAGAGGTCTGTTTGCTTTTGCCAGAGCGCCAAGTGTTGAAGTAGGAGTATAGGCTATTGAATAAACCATAGTGGCCGTATCATGATATAAAGCAGATTAATTCCTGAAGCTCTGTATCTTAATGGCTGTCACCTTAGTTTTTGTCTAACATCATTTATGCTGACGCATTCTAATGGAAAAGAATTTTATGATTAGATCCAGCGTTATTAATAGGCTTTCGTATATCCAGAGATTCAGTATTACTGTTAGTAATGCTATAGAAATAGTATTTTCACTGATTCAACTCTCTGTACCTTTTAAAAACTCATTAGTATCATTTTTCATTTAATTTCAAGCTAGATTTCCCTTGATAACCTGATACTTTTGTGTTTTTTTAACAATCAGGATATTTTTATTATATTTGTTGCAGTCACGACTAATGTACAAAAGCTAATTTGTAAAAGTTTTGATAATTATCCAATGGCTTCTAACTTGTACATTTTCATTCATGGTTAAGAAAAATCACTGTGGTAAAGTTGCGTCAAGCATTAGTCGATGTGGCTTGCTATATACGATTTGAAAAGCTCTGTACAGGTAAGATCTTGCAGGAGATAGGCACCAGACACTTCCAAGAGAGATAATATTGCCCTCAATATAGTGAAACTAGGTGGATGCTGGACTGAAGAGACCATGAGAAGGAAAGCCAAAAATATTAATTGAAATAAACAGACCTGAAGAGGGAAGGAGTGTTGATAATGTTGCAAGAAAAAGTACTACCCTTTATTTTCATATGGAATAATGTAGCCTCCATGCCGACAAGCCAATAAGTTTCCACTACCAATATTTTTGCCAGATTGAGCCCAAACCAGTCCCCTACTTGATGAAAGAATTGCCAGGGGGTATATATGGCAAATACGAGTTGGTGGCTTGTCGGCATATGACAGTGTAGCCAACCTTTATTGAGTAAATTACACTGGGTTTGCTGTGTTAGGAGCTATGTTGGTAATTGGTAGTACTTTTGAAGGAAAATTTAACGTCTCTTTTCCTGAAAACTCTGCAAGGGATTGAACGCTAGTTGCCATGATTATATATGTGGCTGGATGTTGCTTGACACTATTGCTAATATTTTTTGTTCCAAGATATCATTTAGAGGAAGAAGAATTTTTTTTTTTTTTTTCTATGAATTTATTTAGTAAACTCATTGCTAATTCACATTTCACCATATTACACTATTATTTTGCAAAACAGAATCTGATATTACACATCATATCTAGGTATAAATAGACAAAATTTTATTTATAAAGTTGTAAATCAAGTTGCAGACATTGTAGTGATGATTAAAACATTCTGATTTAGAAACCCTGTAGAAGGACTTAAAAAATAAATTAATAGAAATAAAGATAAAAAGAATAAAGCTTTGAAATAGATTAATAAAAATAAAGATAAAAAGAATAAAGCTTTGTCAGATCTAAATCCAGAAGTTATGGTACACTCAAACAAAAATTAGAGTTAAGAATTCACAAGTCTCTATTAATTTTTAATTATGATTTATTCTCCGTTCTCACTTCCACTTGCTTATCGTCTTTAACGTCGAAGTAGCTTTCAGTCTTTTTGAATCTATTTCCTCTGTCAAATTGAATAATTTATCACAGACACTTGGAACGTTTGGACCACGACCAAAGAGCATGTGTTTTAGACATTTGACACTGAAAAATGAAATAATAAATGCAATATTTTTTCTTTTTAGCTTGTCAATTGGTATTTGTAAGTATTGGTGTCTTCATATTCCAAATTATTCTCCGAATTTAAGGAACTTTTGAAGTTATGCTACCACTTTATTGCAACCGTTTTGACAATTTGCTGCACCTGCAAAGTTAGGCTATCTAGTATGAGTATTTTATTATATTAGTAAAACTGTGAAAGGAAGAAAATTTGTACACAGTGCCTCGTAAACCTCCCTTTCCCTCCCCCCCCATAAAAAAATGTATATATGTAAAGAGAGAATGGGGGTGGGGGGGGAAGGACGTACACTTCAAAACAAAACAGAAATTGAAGTGAAAAAATATGGAATGAAACAGCGATTGATAGAAGGATAGAGGGTGGCTATTGTACCACACAAAGCAGGAAGATTGCTGGGGATTCTTAGATTTTACAAGTCTCGTGTATGAAGATGTAAAGGAAGCGCAGCATGGACAGTTGGACATTGAGTAACGTAATCAGAAATTTTATCCTCTCTTTTTGATTAAAGGGTAAGGTACTGTGCATTTGTGCACATCAAGCTGTAAAGGTGATAATTATTAAAAAAAAAAGTGATTCGTTTTGAACATGGACTTCCTTTCTGTAGTGAGCCTCTTGCTTCAATCCACACCCCCTCCCCCGTCCCACAAGACAGTTCTGGGGAAGGAGATTAATAAGCAGCCAAATTATTTGCCGTAGAACAAGCAGTAACCATTCCAGGGAAGCCATGTTACCGAATTAAGGGCATTGTCCCTATCTTCATGGATGCCCATACAGTGTGTTTAATGACTAAGGGCTTGGTCACAAACTCCAGTAGGCATTTTCTCATGCTAGCTAGTTACATGGTACAAGCTTCACGCAGGACTAGCACAAAGGGAACAGGAGTCCTTTACTCCAATTTTTAGTAAGGAAGTAAAGGTTTTTGGTATTATTTTCTAAGTGAGCTATCCCTGTCAGCAAACAGTTTTTAACTCGCAGCTTCACTTTGTGTTGCTGTCTGTTGGGCATCAATGAAGATAATGATAGGTATTATCCTTTTTTTTTCTGAAATATTTTTCACTGTACCTAAAAGAATGTCCTTGCTGTTTTGGACAAAGATGCCAAAGTCTTATAGAACATATTGGAAAGTATTAGAGAATTTTTAAAGGTTTATCTCTCATACTATTACTTGCTGGAATTTAAAATGGGATTTCTGGTTAGGTTGGTAGTTATTGTAGACAAAGCCTAGATTAGGCCAGCTTAGACATATAGACTCAAGTCTGAATCATTTGGCAATCGTGCCATAGTCTGTAATGAGAGAGAAGAGTGTGAGAGAAGCAGATGCATAGAATGTATGTGAGAGAGAGAGAGAGAGAGAGAGAGAGAGAGAGAGAGAGAGAGAGAGAGAGAGAGAGAGAGAGAGAGAGAGAGAGGAAAAGCACAACTGCATGATATTATTTTGTGATTGCCTGACTGACAATATACGCTTGTGCCTGATAATTGTATGAGTAGTAATTTAAGTCATTGTTATTTTTGTAATAGCTTCTCCCTTTTTATAATGCTGACAAAGACACAGTCCTTTTTGCATATCTTTTTTCTTTTTTTTTCCTGTTTTTTTCTTTTTTGTATATACTTTTTTCCTCTGATGTACTAATGATGAAATGTGGAATGTGACCCTCTTCTTCCCAGACCAATATTTTAGCTGGCTGCAGAGTGCTGTTTGCATAGAGATCCAGAGAAATTTGTTTTGACATGTGTATGCGATTGCTTATTGCTCCTTTCGTCTCATAATATAGATAGATTGCTTCTGTTGCGTTCCATTAATGATTTGGAAACCCAAGTCCATTCAACCCATTCACTACACGAGGCATAAATTTGAATACAAGGTAAGATAGATAGAGATTAGTGACTTGTTGTTAAGTTCATAGCGACCCTTTTAGTGGAGACTGGTTTTATGAATTGGATGTTTTATTTATTTATTTTTTTGTTGTTGTTTTTGCATACTGGCAGTGGCACAGGTTGGTAAGGTTTGTCAAGCTGTTACAGTACACAGGTTGGTTGATTTGAGTTTGAGCAGTGGATTTGGGTACGGCCTCTTCGTTTCCGGACATAATTACATGATGAGAGGAAACTAGCACGAGTCACTCACCAGGTTTGAGATGGAGCAAGTGCATCAGAATGTCTCCGTGATTTTGCTTGATTGCACATTTTAGGAGCAACTTGCTTTCAAGAAAAAGTAAGTGTATAGAAATGATCAGTGGTGGCACATTGAAAAATAAAATGGAGGGACTGCATCACTGGAAGCTTTGCACAACAGTATGATAATAATAATTCAAAGAAATTAATTTAAGAAAAACAAAAACAAAAAAACAAATGTGTAATGTCTACTTTGCAAAGTTTATACTTTGTAAAAGTATCAGAGGGTAATTAAATATATAGCATTTAGAACAAATTAAGGAGTTACCATCACCAACAGAATCATGCCCTGGGAGTGAGTGCCCAGGCGGACTGAATCAGCAGGTCCTATGGACAAGCCGCCTCAGGAAATAACAGACGTAATAAGAGCAGAGATGTGCTTTGGGAAAACAAATATTGTCAAGAAACTATTTTAGGAGACAGAGTATTGTTTGCTAGTTACTCCTAACTGCAGGATGTGTTGCAGTGATATTGGTAAACAATTTTAGGTGCATTGAGATGGAGTGACATCTTGCTTGAATGGCTCATCATGTAAATATGTTACTTTGTTTATTTAGGTCAGGTAAGGATATGTAATGTAAAATGATCCAGGTATTCTAATTCTGTCTACATTTCTAATTCTCTCATCCATTCCTGCCCACCTGTCTCCTTTGCCCTACCCTTTTCCCCCCATTCCCCCTTACTCTCTTTCTCATTATTTTATTGTCCCTCTCCTTTTTTTTTTTTCTTATTTTTCCCCTCTCCTGCTCTTCTCTCCACAGCTTTCCCTCAATACTGCCTCCATTCCCGCTCCCTCTCTTCTTCTTCTTCTTCTTCTTCTTCTTCTTCTCCTCCTCCTCCTCCTCCTCCTCCTCCTCCTCCTCCTCCTCCTCCTCCTCCTCCTCCTCCTCCTCCTCCTCCTCCCCCCCCCATCCCCTCCCATCCCTTCTCTGCCCTTCCTCTCCTCCCCTTCTCCCTCTCCCTCTCCCTCTTTCTCTCCCTCTCCTTGTCCAAATGCCTCCCCCTGTTTTCCTCCTCATCCCTTTCCCTCATGCGTTCTGTTTCCTCTTTGATTTGACATGAGTGCCACATCCAATAGTTTGTATTTATAGAATGTGCCACTGCCAGCATCTTAATCCCCTGCCAGTATTGTACACCTTTAGTACACCTTGCTTTTTATATGCCTGTGCAAGTTACTCTTTTTATATGAATCTCTATTGTTGATGTGTTTTTTTAATGGAATATCATAAATTCTTTTTTGAGTGGAGATTATGGTGAAATAGTGAACAGAAAGTATCTGGACCCTCTTGTGTCATTGTTTTTGCCGCTTGCCATGATGAAGACGGTGTTCTTTGCAGGTTAATGTTATCAGGTGTGTTGCAGTTGATGAAAAAGAAACCTTTAGTTACAAGACAAAATTATGTGAGTTCCAGTTTTCTGAGTATGAGATTTCACAGATGTGGGATTGTATCATGTCTTGCCACTAGCTTTCTATTTAAAGAATGAACAGCCAGGTATTCACAGCCTAGCCAGTACTCCAGGTATTATTATAGTTTTGACAGAGTCCAGTTGTTTTTTTCTTTTGTTTCATTGGTTCTCTGAGGAGATAGGGTCCGTAGTGAATTTCAGTGGTATAGTGTGAATGGGGCCACAGGCGGTAGTTGCCCTGGGCACAGAATTCTTAGTGATGCAAAATTTTAAAAGTGAAGACATATGTGCTATTTGTATAATACAAAAAATGACTTACTCTCCCTTTCACACAGAAAATCACTCAGTGTTGGAATATTTTAGTTTTTCATCATGATAGGATAAATAAAAGTTGTCTAACTGTGCTATCAAGTGAGAGATTTCTTTGTAGATTATAGTTGTTACAGAAATATATGTGCAGATTAAAAACAGATAGTTTTCATTGGAATTGAGTATACCAATATTGAATGCAATTTGCTTTAATTACATCACTATTTTCTTATGATATACTTGGAAGTAAGAAGTTCGGTATTGGTCTGGCAGAAGGAACTCGGTGATACTAGCCCATGCTATGCCATTGGTGGATTGATTGTCAGGTTATTGAATATTATGTGACTTGGAATATGGTATATATGCCTTATTAAGAGGAAGATATATATGAGATTACATTGTGTTGAATTTGAGAGACATATTAATATTAATTAGATCATGTAATTTAGAGATAGTATCGGATTGGATTGTTTGTTTTCCTCCAGTTATGGGGAAATATTCCAAGGCAACTTCATTACCAGGGATCAGGGAGTCATGATTGGTCTTGATAAATGACAAGGAAGTGCAACAGTTTTTATTGAAGTGAAGGCTGCTATTCAGTTATAGATTGCTTAGAGACTGGGCGTTTGTTTTTTGTGATTCCAGCCTCCAGTTAATATTCTAAAGAGCATGATGATATAAAGGAAAATTATTCAAGAGATTATTCCAACACTTTCAGTACTTCTCTGTATTGACCAGATTAACATTAAGCAACCAGTTTCATTGTGTTGGTAGTTTTGCAAGTAGAGCAGATGCAGAAGGTAGAAATTCAATTGTTCTTGTTGATATGGAGGAAAGTGTCTTAATAAACAGTAACTTCACGTTTCCTACCCCAGGTAGCGGTTACAGATAGGTTGTGGGCATTTAATGTCTGTAGGAAAGAAATAGTCTGGAGTTTATTGATAAGCTAAGTGCTATAAAGACAAGTTATGATTTGAAAGCCATTAATGTTTCTTGTTATCATGGTTACTCGTTCCACCGTTGCAAAAGTGGTACCTTGGCATTCATTTTCAAGATCCTCGCACCATGGGTCCAAATACTTTGCGGTGTTGCTGTATGTTTTATTAATGTTCTTTTATTATTGGTGTTTTAAGTAAGAGTAGTGAAGTGGACAGTAGACGAAAAGAAACAAAGTAAAAAATAAATGGAAATAAAGAAAGAGCAAGATTATTAGATTGGAAGAAAGATAAAAGAGGAAGATAGAAAGGAAGAGGGAAGGAACCACAATGAAGAGGAAGTCAGTGGATTATCACTTGCCACCT